TTTTGTTTAAACTTGTCAAACATGGATAGAGCTAGTGAACCAGCTTTTGGTGGATTAATGGTTTGTCATCATTCATTATCTTTTACCTCCTCAATTTTATCTACAGAATTCATTCATGAATCACAACTAGATGACTAACAATTTATAAGATCATTAATACCTCCCTCCAAAACTTCAAATCCACCATAAAAGAAGTAAAACATGAGCTCAAGTTTAAAAAGTGGAAAAATAATACAAAGTTTTGTCCACTTTCATTGGGGTTGAATCCTCATCAAAATAGATAGATAGATAGATTAAAAAACACACACACACACACACACATCTAAGCCACCTATATCCCAAGGCTGGTGCGAGGGTCAAAATGAAAATTGCTACAATAATCCATCAAGGCACGCACAATCACACAGACCCATGTGGATTTTTCCAGCTCCCAAATTACCAACAATAATTATTTCTCACAATCTTCAACCACATTCCGATCGGCAGTCCTTCTGATCACAAATTCACTAAACCAAAAGGATGTGGACAAACAAACATCATCCACCAACACGTTTATCAAAAGCTTAATACAATAAAAACATGAGCCCCAGATGGCTAGCTAATAGTCAATAGTTAAAGACTACAAATCTCGCTTTCTACTAAAAAGTGAAATAACATCATCATCCGATCAACAGCTTGTTCTCATCCAAGAAAGTATACATCGGGACTTCCAGATTGTAAGGAGCTGGACCCTTTCGAATTCTTCCCGATATGTCATAGTGAGAGCCATGGCAGGGGCAAAACCACCCTCCGAAATCACCAGCATTCGGCAGAGGGATGCAGCCCAAATGCGTGCAGACCCCAACAACCACGAGCCATTCCGGATTCTTCACCCTCTCCGAGTCCGGCTGTGGGTCCCGCAGCGAGGGAAGCTCGACGCTGTTGGCCAGCTTCACGTCTTCCTCAGTGCGGTGCCTAATGAAGACTGGCTTTCCGCGCCACTTGACCGTGACAGTCGAGCCGGGCTCGATGCTCGACAGATCAACCTCGAGAGAAGCCATTGCCAGAACATCCTTACTGGCCGACATGCTGAGGATGAACTTGAGGACAAGAAGGCGCAGCAAGGAAGCATACACGAATCTGCCACCTGTCAGGACAAAATATGCAAAAGCACGCTTACTGGGATCACCTGGGGCATACCGTTCGTGGTTGTGCTCGTCGTAAACTATCTTTGGGGTAGGGTTTCTCATAGCAGCTACAGTTGGTGGGATAGAGCTTCTACCTTCATTCTTAGATGAAATGGAATTAGAACCAAAACCTGTACCAACACATTCATCAAATATTTGTTCATAAAGTTTATATTTAGGAATCACATTCTGACACAATAGGCTCCCGAGCCTTGTTAAATAAGGCCATAGTTTAATGTGTATACGACTGGATGTGTGCAAGAGGGTTTAAAATAGTTCTAGTGAGAAAGCAACTAGCTGCACGGAGGAACTCCCCAAGGCCGGTTAGGCGATCGTAGAGTCCCAAAACACGAGGACACAAGAGGAGCGAATTCTATTATAACAAATAGCTCCGATTTGGAAGCCAATAAACAAAAGACAAAGATTGAAGCTTTTTCTGAGGTTAACTAACTATGCAATCAGTCGAAAATTTGGAAAATAGCTAAGGGGAATTAATCAATTAAATGAAATTAAGGCAAAACCCCAGTGAGTTTATTAAAATAGCGGGAGTGAGGGATTAGACGAACCTCTAGAGGAGAAATGAAAATTGGGGTGAGTGTCAATTGGGCTGTCGTTGAAGAAATGAGTTCCGTCGACGGATTGATTCGAAAGGCCGGAGGATGAGACGGCGGCCTGCGATGTTCTTCTGAGTGAGGAAGACAGCCTCCGAGCAGCCACTCTCAACATTTTCTTTCAGCAACACATCCTTTACTCCTTACTATAGTGACTGCGTCGGGTAACAATAGTATTTAAATTAGTCGAATGATCGATCGAATCCCATAAAAAGCGTGAGGCTGTTATGCAAAGTAAGGCTGGGCAAAAAAATCAAATTTGTCCTTCTATATGTATTCGTTTTATTCATTAACTCTATAATATCTTATATTATTATGATTATTTATTTTTATTTGTATTTTTTTATTACTTTTTCCTCTGTTATATGGCTTTTTGTGCAAATGCACGAGTTAAAACTAGTCAAGTATGAATTTTAGTAATAAAAACTTTAATATGTAGATTTGTGTGCTTTGTGAATATCAAAAAGACGGCTTAATGAGAATGAAAAAAACGAAACAAAAGTCAAAGTCGAGGCATGTAATAATTACGTTCTTCTTAAGACAAAATTGTCTCGTAAAATACTCACGGCTAACGGCAAACGTCTCCAAGATACAACGGCTTTCGACTTGTATATAGCGATACTTCAAATATACAAGTGTTCGGCGAACACTACTATTGTTTGGAACTCTTAAGACTCAATGAAAAAATCATAGAACACAATATGCTATATGATCTTTGAAATTAATGCAAGAGCTCTTTAATTTTCTAGTTGTGTATGATTTCATGTATGCGGGTATTTCCAAATGTAGAAAAATACCTTCAAGAGGTTTAAGTGTCAAAAGACACATTTTGGGACGTACTCGAACGAGAATGACACTTCTAAAGGCCAAAAAATACCTCATATTCACCAAAGATTGTGACCTTTCGGTTTTCGTAGCCAGCTGCGCGTCTGTACGCCGCGGGCTCGTACGAGCTCATACGGACTCGAAATCGAGTTACGTTTTTTTCTACCCGTCCCCAACGAACTCCTCTAGAGTTATAGCATGCAAGCTACATGATAGGGCCTCGTTTGGATTATCTTAACATTAACTCATTGCTTCAACTTTACATTTCTCACATATACAACTTAGAATTAATTTCTCATTCACCTTAAAATGGTTTTGAAAATTTTCTAGTATTCCACTTACAAAAAATGGGACCGCAAAATCGGTATAGAACTAATTTTTCTTACATATTAGACTATAGATATGTGTTTAAGGTCGTAGTAAAATAAAATAAATTTGAATGGTTTTGAAATTTCGGTCAATAAAATAAAATATATGCACGCATCAAATAACGTTATATTGTAATTCTTAATATTATATAATAATTATTTGAATTATAACTATTAATATTATATGATAATTATTTAATCCCTCTCTGTTTATAAATGCAGGGTTTCTAACCCATGAGTAAAATTATAGTGATAATCCTATAGGTTGATTTGACTTTATAATTCTACTAGTATAAAACCCAGGAGTGCTGGTTAAAAAATTATTAATAAATTTTAGAATTAATAATAAAAAAGTATTTTAAATTTAATTTACTTTTTTGCAAAATATATATATATATATATATATATTATATATTTTAGAATGATATTTGTTACTTGTGCAACTTACATGTGTTATATTATAGTAATTTTTAGAACTTATATCATATAACTACTTGAAATATAAATATATTAAATGATAAATAATTTTATTTTTCTAATTAATATTAAAAAATAATTTTATTATTGTTATAAAGATAAATATAAATTATTTTTTTATATATACAGTATGGATGTTAAATTGAAGATCATCAAGAGATGATTAATTTGATATTATATATGGGAAACTCATAAAAAATACAAAAGTTATTAAACATTTAAAATATATTTACAATTCAATAGTTATCTATACTTATATTAAAGGGAAACTTATTTACTAAATATAGTAGGTAAAAAAAAGTCAACCTTAATTAATGAACTTCTAATTTTATCAAGTAGTAATTAATGCATTTATAATTTTAATCAAGTTTCCTATTTTACATATTGTTTTTATTAATCCTTCTTATCTTGACATAAAAAATCCCATGAAATGGGGTGAGCAAAAACAATCAAAATTCTGTTTCTAAAAACTACAAATCAATATTACGATTTTGAATAATACACTAACAAATTATAATATATTTTTATAAAATTTATAAAAAACTATTGAAAAAACTTGGTTCATATATTTGTATGGATATTTATATTTTTTTAATATCATCTTTATGTTAAAAAAAACTATTTAACACTATTCTTTTTTATTATATAATAAAATAATAATTAAATATTATATGATGAACAAGAATAAATAAAACTGTAATTTTTTCTTATATCAATGGATAAATTTATATACTGAAATTAAAGTTTTATTAGTATAAATATTTTAGTGAGATAATATATTAATTATTTTACAAGCTAGCCCTAACATACTCATATTTAATATTCTGGCTAAAAAACAATGCTGGTTAAAAGATATGAAAAAAAGCTTATAACATTATTGTTTTTTAGACTTAACGTTGATTAAAAGAGGTAGAAAATAGATAATAACACTATTACTTTTAAGATTTAAACAGACAAGACTGTTAAAATAACTCATTTAATATCTATGTTCCGTGCATCGCACGGGGTACGTACTAGTATTAAGAAATGATAATATAATTTAATTAATGCATGTAACATGACTAAAAATAATCAACATAATTATGGATAATTTGGACCTAATTATTTTTGAATTGAAAGTAAATTAAAATCTACCCAAACATATAATTTTGCCACAGAGAATCTCGAAGAATGCAAGTCTATCAATTAAAATATATATATATATATATATATATATATTTTTTTTNNTTTTTTTTTTTTTTTTTTTTCCGAAACGATAGGGATAACTATATAGAACTAAAAAGGCGAACCAAGTTCGAATTACAATCACACCACTCGAAAGAAAAGTAAAAATGAGAGACGCGCAACAAGCGGTCTAGAACCTCAACAAAGATAGCTAAAAACCAGGCATAACCAATAAAGAGCTAGACAAAAGATCACCTGCCACTGCTCAA